AGCCTTACCTGGTCCACAGATAAAAGAACCATACCAATATCACCTGTAAGGAGCCTTACCTGGTCCACAGATAAAAAAACAATGCCAATATCACCTGCAAGGAGCCTTACCTGGTCCCAGATGAAAGGACCATGCCAATATCACCTGTACGGAGCCTTACCTGGTCCACAGATAAAAAACACTGCCAATATCACCTGCATGGAGCCTTACCTGGTCCCAGATGAAAGGACCATGCCAATATCACCTGTACGGAGCCTTACCTGGTCCACGTTACTGTACCCTCTAGTGGACCCTGGCATGTTATCTTTCTATTTGGCCGATTTCTACTCTTTCCAGCCGCCACCCTAAGCTTGATAGAGACTAAGAAGGGACACGCAATTTCAACGACTGCACAATGCAAAATTACGCACGTCGTACTGCAATGTAAACAAGAAGGTTAAATACAAATTTACAAGATTTTAAACCTCCTTGAATATAACGTTAGCCATATAACCAATATGATGTTTGGCGGTAGATCCCCTCCTAAAATCCACTCAAATATTATCTGTGTGGTGCCTTTCCTGGTCCCCCGAGCTTATAGCCACAGAAATGCAGTAAATTTAGTTGTAAAAGCTGACGTTTTTGCACCTAAAATCGCGGCAAAGACGTCGGTAGCCCTCCCCACACTAGCGAAACCGCGATTGCATGCGAAACTATTGCACCCCGTTACTGTTTTTGATCGACCAATGGGATTGTGTCGATTATATAGCATTGACCAATAGGAGTGTGGCTCTTCCACCGTGGCTGACCGAACTGGGGAGACGACTGCAATACCTCTTGCGGGACAGGAAGGTGCGATGCCGTGACCCGGAAGTACTACCCAGCCGGGATGGGGTCAGGAGGTCTAGTCTCGCTACCTGATTACCCAACAAATGTACACGGTTGTCTAACTAAGGAAAAAACAATTACGTCATGTTCTTTGAGCATGTATCATTTACAATGTTTCCGAAAATAAATTTAGCTACATAAAGGAAGTACCAAGTAAGAATTTACACAAGTAATGTAGCTCTAATGCACAACAAATCGCTTTCACCATGAATACAAACAAAACTGTGTGACTACATCTGTTTATTTATTCATTTCAAATGCAAACAACACAATACAAAGACTTACAGGCAGCAACAGCTGATAAATGTAAGACTACATCTGTTACATTTTCCATTGTTAACTTGTATCTCGTTGCAAGGTACTATAATTGTTGGCTCGCTTGTTAGCGAGTAAACCCCCCTTATAAGGCTAACAGCACACCAATGTTTACAATAAGTAAAAAAGAAGCAGCGAAGATCAGACAGTAAAGTTTGCTCAACTCACATCGCAAGTGGCTCTTTTTAAAGTTGAAAAGTTCTGTCTTTAAAAAAAATTTTGTCTCAAAACTTACATACTCCAATCAGTATCTCTACTGCATTGCAATCTCTACTCTGACATAGTATGATATATAAATCTTCCAGAAACAGTATTAAAATGAAGGATCTAACGTGTTCATGCTGGATTCTGGTAAAACTAAGTGTGGAACCGGTTGCACAAGTGTGATATAGAAAAGGACTACAGCCACAGGGATTATTTTTATTTAAACCTTTTTTTTTTTCAAAATGTTTCCTGGACCTTCAAAGTGTTTGGTTAGTGGAGTGCATTCAACATAATGGAAACCTTTGAGAGAAGATCAAGTGTTCAAAATCCAACAGATCTCACAAAGGTCTTTTAGCGAGGAGCTATGATCTCTCTATGGTCTTTTAGTGATCTCGAAGACCAATTATTTCTTTTTTGCCATTCAACTCTGTTAAAATGTGGATTTTACAAATGTGGTTTCCTCATTTAGGTACGTAGAATTTAGCTGCGAGGCAGTTGGTCCTGTGCCATAAGATAAATTTCTAGCATCCAATGATTCAGCGATGGCCCGATACTGACTCTGCCCATTCAGATCACGACCACTGGCCATTACAGTAGCTGTGTTGTAATGACAATTTTGCTGTGAGGCAATGGGGCCTGTTCCATAACATGGATGCCTTGTATCCAAGGGTTCACTGATGGCCTGATACTGACCCTGCCCTGTCTGATCATGACCACTGGTCATTACAGTTGCTGTTGTGTACTGAGAATTTAGCTGGGAGGCAGTCGCTTCTGTGGCATAAGATGCATTTCTACCATCAAATAATTCAGTGACTGTCTGAGACTGACCAAGCCCTGTCTGATCATCGCTACTGGCAACATTTGTAGATACATACAGAAGATTTGGATTTAATGCAGCTAGTATTTGATCATGGGATAGATTTCCAACTTTCAGAGACTGAATGTTAGCCTGAAATTGCCCCTGCCCTGTCTGATTATGACCACTGGTCATTACAGTAGCTGTGGTGTTTGTGGTGGATGCAGTGTTGGCCTGAGACTGACCCTGCCCTGCCTGAACATGATGGTTATTAGTATCGTCATATTGGTAATAATGATCACTTGTCATTACTGTAACTGTGGTGTTTGTGTTGGATTCAGTGATGGTCTGGGACTGACACTGTCTTGTCTTAACACGGGGTTTGTCAATATCCTCATACTGGTGATCATCACAACTGGCCATCACAGTAGCTGCGTTGTTTGTGTTGGATTCAGTGTTGGCCTGAGACTGACCCTGCCCTGTCTGATCATGACCACTGGCCACTACAGTATGCATACCGTTGCTGCCACCAACAACATTGGGATTTGGGCCTAAGTGAGGATCCCTCGTGCTCATCTTGTAGTACCAAATTGTGAGAATGGCGATGCCCATCAGGACAATCCCAGCTACTGAACCACAGACTGAGCTAATGGGAACAGCTAGGAGAAAACTGGGGGCAGATTCTGGCTTGTCTGAAATGATTGCAAGGGGTGGAGTGGATGTTACTATTGTATTTCTTGTATTGCCTGCAGAATGTGCTTTTAGGTCAGTATTGCGTGTAAAGAACCGCTGATAGCGAGAAGGGGCGATAGTATTAACACTTACTAATAGGTTCACATGGGCCTGCGTGGTATATATCGAGCCTACAAGATATGCTGTTGGGCTAGCATTGTTTTCTGTGTTGCTAACTGAAGATGTTGACACTGCAGATGAGGTTTGGATATAAACAGACAGTGTCGGTACGGTTGTCTCTTCACATATCATTTCTTCAGGATTGACATTTATAAGCTTCTGTCCCCGGAATTTAACGGGTTGGGTACATATTATCTGGTCTTTAAATGACGGAAACGTATTGATATTTAGCCTGAAAGAAGCCATTCTACAGTCACATCGCCAAGGGTTCTCGGCTAGTGTTACGGTACGAATAGATGGTAACAAGCCAAAAGCTGAAGGGGGAATGGCAGACAACATGTTTTTCCGAAGGTACAAAGTTTGAAGCTGGGGCAGACTCTCAAAAGCTTTAGAATGGATGGTAGTTATCCGATTGAAGAACAGATTTAACAGTTGTAGTCGGGGTAAATTTGAAAATGTACCTGCCTGTATAATTTTAATCTGGCTGGAGCGCAGATTCAACTCTTGTAGCTGAGGTAGATTTGCAAGTGCACCAGGCTGAATCTCTGTTATCTGGTTGCCGGAAAGGCACAAATATTGTAGCCTGATTAGATTTACAAATGTACCAGCGTAGATGTTTGGTATCTTGTTAAAGAACAGTCTCAACTTTTTTAAAGAGCGTAGATTTGCAAATGCACCAGGCTGAATCATTGTTATCTGATTGTTGCGCAGATCCAACTCTTTTAGTAGAGACAGATTTGCAAACACTCCTGCGTGAATCTTTCTTATTTGGTTGCGGAACAGATTCAACAATGAGAGCGAGGGTAATTTTGCAAATGCACCAGGGTGGATCTCTGTTATCTTGTTCTGATACAGAAACAACTTTTTGATTTTTTGTAGATTTAAAAATGCACCAGGCTGAAGTTCTGATATCTGGTTTAAACAGAGACTCAGCACTTGGAGTTCGGGTAGATTTGCAAATGTGCCAGATTGGATTTTTGTTATCTGGTTGCTGGACAGGTCCAACGATTGAAGGCGGGTTAGATTTGCAAATGCACCTGTCTGAATCTTTGTTATCTGGTTTCGGGGCAGGCAAAACGTCCTCAAATTTGTATACCTCAGCACTAGTGACCGGTTTACAGATGAAATAAAATTATCTCCTAAATGCAAACCAGAGATGGATGTAGGGAGGTTCTGAGGGATGCTGGTGAGGCCCACTCTGTTGCACCAGCAGCCTGACGATGGTTTACAGCTGCAGACAACTTCTGGCATGCTGGGCTCCTTCAGGATGATGAGAAGGAAAATCAGCACGTGTCGCAGCTTTCTTCCCATGGTGCTGTGGCACCTAAAAATCAGAAAGCTCTTTGTCAGGACAAGCAAAACTTACACCTTGGGTATAAAAACAATTCATGACTGACCACCCAACATGACAAGACACCTGTAAGAACAAAACCTTGCTTCACAAAGGAGAGAAAATGTGGACAAAAATTGCCCTCCTAGCGCTTTGTTTCAATTGAGACCTTTCGCTAAATTTATTAGTTTACAGTATATAATGTCTATCGCAAAACATGCCGAAAGGCTACCGATAATTGCAAGTAAGGCTACCGACAATTGAGATCGAGGTGATAAAATGTAAGACGTGTTAGTGTCTAAGTGTATTTCTGCTCCTGTGTACTGCTGTGTAGAAGTACACGTGCTTCAGTCGTGATTCCTTTATAGTGTGGAGCAAAAAGTTTTAAACGGCTGTAATCTTAATGAAATTCTGCTGATTGTCTGAAACAGACTGTTTGAATATGGATATCAGGATTATTTACAGGTTTTGCTGACGCTTTTTGATTCTGTTTACAAACAAGAAAATTAGAAGCGGGATAAGAAAATCAACACTTAACTGCCTATTTCAGTAATTTTAAAATGTCATTAAAGGACTTTGTTTTGCAGTGTTGCCTGCATAATACGGATGTATAAAAACCCCTGTAAGTTGTAGACAAATGACAGCTGCGACAGTGGCTACAAGCCCATTGTCTAAAGCCTTGTAAAACAGAAACTTTATTTACAACAGGTAAAGAAAAACAGACTGTGGCCTGGCAGGGTGCCTTATACTAGTATATGGTCATTTTTATGGTTCTGGAAGAATCTGAGTAGGACATAACCAAATGAAAATATCAGGATGTAGCTTCCCCAACCCCTCAGAGCTAACTTAAGCTGCAAGCAAATAATGATATCAAGAATCTGATAAACATTTTCTGAGGCTTCTCTGGTAGCTATTTATCCATACCAAATGTAAGAAAACGTCTTTCATCGCAACATCTGCTTGGAGAAAGACACGCTAATTAAGCTATAACAAACTGTCTACACCACAGATTGTACCCTGAACGTGTGTTCACGCTGATCAAAACATACCTGTAAAGTCAGTCAGAATAGTACTTTGTAAAAGAACTCGGGTAGAACGCCCCTGGCACTGGTATAGTTGCTGCTGTTCTTGCAGGGTGTGTCAGCCTCCTTCTGTAGCTGATCCGCAATGGCGTGTGACAAACAACCCAGGATCGGTCTTAGGTAAATGGTGGAGTTAATTGTCTGAAGCTGGCTATTTGAATAACATTAACATTTATGAGGGGCACATACAATGGCTATGTTTTCACGTTAATATAGGCCTAACATTTAACAGTCTATTGTAATCGGCCAGAAAATAGTTTATAAAAAATCATATCATACGTTTAGTTTATTTTGTATGAACGACAAACTTGGGAATATGCAGAATTTACTATGGTTCACAGAGTGCCTGCAAGTTACGTCTGTCTTACGGAAAAGGGCACGGGCCCCCATGAATGTTTAATATCTTATATTCTAATGAAAGTTCATCTGGGACTGAAACGACATGAAGTCTTCTATGATCGTAAACATGTTCTCTGGCCACATTTCAGACCCTTAGAAGTAGGGGGCAAAAGCCCAAAATGTGAATTTCTGTCTGCAAGTAGCAAATAAAATTTTCATATTTTTTGTACAATTTCAAAGTGGTTGTAACTGTTATGTCAAAATGTGAGGTGGCACATCATAAATATGCCAAAGCTAACCGTGGTTGTCTGCTTCGGTACACGTGTGAAAACTTTATTTAGTTGAAAACTCATGACACGTGTGTGTGTGTGGGGGGGGGTCATGTTAGAGGTGGTCGCTTAGGTTTTGTGAAATTTGTGGTGTGAGATAAAACACATGTTATGTCGTTTGGATTTAACAACAAGGCTCCCAGAGCCAGAGCCCAGAATGCTCCACATTAGTCTTAAACGGCTAAAACAATAAATCCATTTAAAGGCCTTTAATGTGAATGACTAAAACTTATCCACTAAACTATTGTCTTACTGCTGGTATCATGTAGTACATTGTGTCTTGTGTCTTAGAGTAAAAGTGTTTTGTGTTTTTGTGTTTTGTCTTGTGTAAAAGAGTCACAAGCATCCGTGAAACTCTCACGACCAGATGATGATGATGTGTCTTAGATCAAATATCATTATAAATTCACACGTTTATGTTGAAATCCTTTATTCATAAAAAGATCATTTATTAACTAGAAAGGCCAATATTTGCTTTGGAGCAAATATAGCGATGGGTTCACCACATTTTACCACATGGCAGGGAAAGAATGAGAAACACAAGGGAAAACAATGCTTTACATTGATATAACTATAGTATGAAGTAACATACAACTAAGACTACAACAGTTGGATAGCTATTCCCTACATTATTGGTTAGGATTGCATAATGCAAACTGTTGATTTTCAAGATAAAAAGAAGCGTTCATAGCCCGCATTCCAATGCTGGAGCAGGAAAGCTTAAAATACCTACCAAAACACTTGAATACAGACATACTGTCAGTATGGCATGGCTCTGTGCAGGTGTAAATGAAGTTAAGCCAGTTAAATCCCAACAGCCAATCAGCAAGGAGAATAGAGGAAAGCTGCATGCCTATTGGTTGATGCCTTGCATGCCATTGTGATGACTCATGTCCAAATGTGGTAAACACTGCACACTTACACAGTAATACATTAGCTATTACACAGCCAAAAAACTCAAATAAAACCATTCTAAAAGCCTGTATCACAATAATTTAAAAAACGCCTAGGGGTATTTGCCCACTGTACCTCCATACCAAATTTCAGGACCTTAGGCCCTAAAATGAAGAAGCTGAATCCATTTAAAGATATGGCAGGAGGAGAAGGAGAAGGAGAAGAAGAAACATCAGAAAAAGCAATATGGTTTCACCACACCACTTCGTGGTGTGGTGAACCCATAAAAAGCGGTGCAGATGCAAATTATTGGCAGGCAAATCAACCGTAACCAGCTTTTTGCCTACCACTTGCTGACTGTGACGTCATGGCAGTCTGTGGTAATGGCTCAGACCCTAATACTATCTTCTCAAATAAAAATAAAAAATACTGAGTTCAGTCAAAAGATGTAATTCAGTAAACAGAAGATATGGGTTCGCACTTCGTCAAGGGAACTTAAACTGGAAATCGTAATTACAAAATGTACATTCATAGAAACCTAATGCTAACCTAAGCGCTGTACAACATATTAACACTAATTACAGGAAAAATAGAGTTGTTAGCATTTGATGCATGTTAGACCTAGTACACTTAAGACAAAAATATAAGTTATATTTTGTATTGGCTTTAAAAGCTAACAAGGAAAAGATAAAGAGTCAACAAGCCAAAAACAACAAAATAAAGGCAACAATAATTAACGAAATGAACACTGTATAACGCAAACTATAAATATAATAAGTAAAAGGGGATTACCTTTCAAAGTAAAAAGCAACATGAATAACAGAGACTAATAACCAAACAGTTTTGCTATTATCATAGTCTTCCTGTGAACTTCCTACACTGCTATTATCACATCCAACCTGTAGGCTTTCTCGCCTCCATGCAGTGTCTTTGCACATCTTGTACAAAAAGGTTCTCAGATTGTCTCATAACTTGTGGTGCTAAACAGCAAGCCAGTTTTCAGTTCTTCTGGGTTTCACCAGTGTGAGTCCGCATGTGAGTCTTCTGATCATTCAGCCGACTGAACTGCCTACCACACTCCTCACATCTGTAGGGTTTCTCTCCAGTATGAGTTCGCATGTGAATCTTCAGACTACCTAGCTGACTGAACTGCCTACCACACTCCTCACACATGTAGGGTTTCTCCCCAGTGTGCGTCCGCATGTGAATCTTTAGATGACCTAGCCGACTGAATTGCCTTCTGCACTCCCCACATGTGTACGGTTTCTCACCAGTGTGAGTTCGCATGTGTGTCTTCAGATCATCCAGCCGACTGAACTGCCTACTGCATTCCCCACACCTGTATGGTTTCTCACCTGTGTGAGCCCGGATGTGTGTCTTCAGATTACCCAGCCGACTAAATGGCCAGCTGCATTCCCCACACATGTAGGGTTTGTCCCCTGTGTGGGTCTGCATGTGTTTCTTTAGATTTCCGAGCTCAATAAATTGCCTGCTGCATTCCTCACACCTGTAGGGTTTCTCCCCAGTGTGAGTCCGCATATGTATCTTCATACTACCGAGCTGACTGAACTGCTTGCCACACCCCTCACACATGTAGGGTTTCTCCCCTGTGTGGGTCCGCATGTGTCTCTTCAGACTACCTTGCTGACTGAACTGCCTGCCGCACTCCTCACACTTGTAGGGTTTCTCTCCTGTGTGAGTTAGCATGTGTGTCCTAAGAATGCTAAGACAACTGAACTGCTTGCCACACTCCTCACACCTGAACACTTTCACATCTTTGTCCTGCCTACCAGTTTCCTCTCCAGACTGCTCACAGCTTTCTCCTTGCCAGATTAAATCATAGTTAGCAGAACCCCCTGCTGATCCTTGTTGCCCGGTGGAAACAGTGTTGGCAGAACCCCCTGCTGATCCTCTTTGCCAGGTGGAAACGGTGTTAGCAGAACCTCCTGCTGATCCTCTTTGCCAGGTGAAAACGGTGTTAGCAGAACCTCCTGCTGATCCTCTTTGCCAGGTTTGAACGGTGTTGGCAGAACCCCTTGCTGATCCTCGATGCCAGGTGGAAACAGTGTTGGCAGAACCCCTTGCTGATCCTCTCATGACATCATCCAAATCTTCCATGCTGCCTGTTGTTGCCATGCCAACGAGAGCTGGATCAACCTCTGTAAAAATGAACAAGTGACCTATATAACATCTCAGATTCTGAAATATGTACAGTTAATCAGTAGTATACTGTAGCACTGTACTACTGTATAGTATTGGGTGTATAAACAAATGTTCATTTTCTGTAAAAGTTACTAAGGCCACAGCAAGTAACTTATTTGGATGACATCCTCCACAGACTCCAAATCTAATGCGAGCAGGCGAATAAAAAACAAGGCGGGCGAAAATAACAAGATTCCTACATTTTCAAATTTTGACATCATAAACCTTGTTAAGAACTGATACCTATATTGTGCTAATTTTACTGCCAACTATTACAACATCCATTTCTCACTGAAACAACTTTGAAAAAAAGTTTTCAATACTTGTACAAATCCAGGTTTTTCATTCAGTGGAACATCACATTTACACAGCCATCATCAAACATAAAAGGCAGAAAATACATCACTGCATCAAAGACAAAACTTAAGTCATAGCCTTGTCTTGTCTCCTGTCTTCATATTTATCTGCTATCCACGTTCTGGCATGGCAACAGACATCTTTGCCCATTTTCAGCTCACTGTCAGAAGGCAATAATTTTTTTGTCCAAAATCAGGCGAAAATTAATGCACGTACTGATGTCATCCATAGAAACTGAAAAACAGAAGATGGGTAAATAGTGAGGCTGTATTTGCTGTATGTTGTTACTGATGCTATGCAGGGTCTTTGACTTTGAGAGTAATATTGCAACAGTTAGTGAACTGTCCCTTGGCTTTTATAATTTTCATGCAAGGTGTGAGCTTCGGCTTATTGTTGACGTGCAACTGCCAATGATACCAAAGTGCCATAAGTCGAAGTCAAGAAATGTTTCTAGTCTAATTCCCTGTTTTTCGCTATGAGATTCAAAGTTCACCACACCCTCAGATCATTAATGAACCGTCCCGTTGTTTTCACACTCTCCCATCTGGCATCATGGAATCTAGATGTGAGTGTGTGGCTCGTGTTGGTGTTTACAGTATACTAAGTATCAGCCTAGTCTTAGATTTACTCTTAAAGTTTCCTCATCACCAACACGGTTGAACGCCAGAATACCTAAATAACAACGAATTCTGTTTCCGGTTCCTCAAATTGCACACTGGATTACCAGAATATTTTTGCTAACTTTTAATGCGACACACAACATTATCTCGTAACCCCTTACCGGTCCTCACACTGTTTACGTCATAAACTTTCAGGCTCCTAACTTCGATATACAGTAATAATTTGATAGCCAAGCATAATTTCAGACGTAGAATCTAGAAATTTGTCATATAATTCCACACCCACACTACTCCATTTCTTTGGCCAGCTGCATTGGAACAAGGAGAATTTGATCACATACAATTTGTATTTGAATCTCCTTGACTGAAATAACAGCACGGCTCAGACCACACACACACTGGCCCAAACGCACGCCCGGCCGCCAAACAACCGTTGTTTGTCAACTCTACAAACCTTTGAATACCAACTACATGCCGACTTTTCCTACCTGGAAGTTAGTTGATACACAGTCCGGGCCGAGTCGCCTGTTGAATCACTGCAAAACTCCTCCAAAGACGGAAAACTGCTCAAGATGCCGCGTCCTTCCGGGACAGGAGGTCGCGATGCCGTGACCCGGAAGTACTACCCCGGCCTGAGGTCAAGTCTAGTTACCTGACTACCCAACGAATGTACAACGGCCTTATAGGGTAAAGCCACTAGTAGTCACAGGCCTGTGTTTTAGGTCATGAAAAATATGTATTGACAAGGTAATCTACCTTCTAGATTTTCCATTCAGTTCATAATTTGGATGTGGAATCGTTTTTACTCTTGTATAAAAGCCTTGTTCGTCCCCATCTCGAATATGCGAGCGTCACTTGGAGTCCAAAAACAAAGAATGATCAGGACTCTCTGGAGAGAGTGCAGCGTAGGGCAACGAAAGGGGTCTGCACTACAAGTACCAGGTACAAAAATCAAATGAACCCAGGTCCAACTTCTTCCCTGCAAGAACCAACTGTCACCAGCCACAGTACTGAACAGCAGCTCAGTAAATGTATTTAAGACCAAGTTGGCTATAGAGTGGAAGGACCACCCTGATAGATATGGATACGTCTTCTCCTACTAAATGCCCAAACTGTCTACACCACGAAGACGGCCTCATTACCCAGTAAGGGTACCTAATGGCCTGGATTCAGGTGAATATTCAGGTGAATAATAGAAACACACAAGATTCAAGATTACATGATTACCTAACAAATGTACACATGCCTTTGAGCAAATACCAGTAATCTGGCTTGTCGATAAAAACTAAAATAAAGAATATCCGTAACATTAAATTATTAGTTTTAAAATCTCCAATGAACGTTTCCCAGGAAAAAATACTTTAATTTCCATTAAGTTTTAATTTTAGATTTTAGTTTTACAATGCATATCTAGACTTAAAGTAGGCCCAGTGCAGGGCCGAGGCTACCTGCTTCCCTTAAAAGAATAAAGGGAAAAGTTCAAACATCAACGTCTAAAACGGATTCAGTAAAATTCAAAATTCACAGAGTACGCACCAATAACTTGACTAAGATTTATTTTCATGTAATCTCCATATCAAGACCCTGATACCTTCCATTTGAAAAAGAATATCTCCTAAAATAAAATACAACACCAGACTGAATTGAAAGTATACGTAGTAAAAAGATATAATTCAGAAAATAGAAAATATGGACACACAGACACTTTGTCTAGGAAACTTCAACAGGAAAACGAAACTAGTACATCCCTACAAACCTAACGCAAACTCAAGTGTACAATCACTTCCCGAGGTCAGTTACTAGTTATGTACATCGTCTAATCGATACCATCAAAGTTAATGCGATAAAAACAATAACAGTTAGGTACGGCTAACCCAACCGAACAACAATGTAAGAAAAGTACCTAAGACTAAGAGAACAATACTGCACAGCATATTAAGTCTTATTACAGGTAAACTAATATTGTTAGCATTCGCTGCATGTTAGTAAACTTCTCTCAAAAAATGTAAGCCATATTTTGTAACAGTTCTAAATGTAAACATAAGTCAACTTACAACACAAAAAAATAGTCAATATGCTAAAAACTAACATAGCAAAATATGTCCCTGGATCACTAATTTTCTAGTGGAACATTTGGCATTTTATTCAACCCTGACAAAGAAGACTATGTCAAAAATTAGGGATGTATCCAAAACAAAGATATTATATATGCCAAAATAAAGGCAACAATAAATGGAAAAATGAACACTATACATCATGTGTAACTAATAAGTAAAGGTATGTATACAATCTAAAGGAATCATCTACTTCTCCCTTCAATGCAGGAATTAAAAGAGATAATGGAAACCAAACAATTTGCTAAATTACTGATATCATACTAATGATAGTCTTCTAGTGAACTTACTATAATGCTATCATCACATCAAACCTGTAGGCTTTCTCGCCTCCATGCAGTGTCTTTGCACATCTTACACAAAACAAGGTTCTCAGATTGCGCGTCAAATTGTCTTATAACGACACTTTGATGCTTAACAGCATGCCAGTCTTTACTCCTGTAGGGTTTCTCCCCTGTGAGTTTGCATGTGCCTCTTCAGACAATTTGGGTGTCCAAACTGCCTGCTGCACTCCTCACATCTGCAGGGTTTCTCTCCTGTATGAGTCCGCATGTGCTTCTTCAGACTACCCGGCTCACTAAACTGCCTGCTGCACTCCTCCAGCTGTAGGGTTTCTCACCAGTGTGAGTCCGCATGTGCCTCTTCAGACTACCCAGCTCAGTGAACTGCCTGCTGCACTCCTCACACATGTAGGGTTTCTCCCCTGTGTGAGTACGCATGTGAGTCTTCAGATGACCCAGCCGACTGAACTGCCTGCCGCACTCCTCACACCTGTAGGGTTTCTCACCAGTGTGAGTCCGCATGTGTTTCTTCAGACTTCCAAGCTCACTGAACTGCCTGCTGCAATCCTCACACCTGTAGGGTTTCTCTCCAGTGTGAGTCCGCATGTGAGTCTTCAGATCACCCGGCTCACTAAACTGCCTGCTGCACTCCTCCAGCTGTAGGGTTTCTCACCAGTGTGAGTCCGCATGTGCCTCTTCAGACTACCCAGCTCAGTGAACTGCCTGCTGCACTCCTCACACATGTAGGGTTTCTCTCCAGTGTGAGTCCGCATGTGAGTCTTCAGATCACCCAGCCGACTGAACTGCTTGCCACACTCCTCACACCTGTAGGGTTTCTCTCCAGTGTGAGTCCGCATGTGAGTCTTCAGATCACCCGGCTCACTAAACTGCCTGCTGCACTCCTCCAGCTGTAGGGTTTCTCACCAGTGTGAGTCCGCATGTGCCTCTTCAGACTACCCAGCTCAGTGAACTGCCTGCTGCACTCCTCACACATGTAGGGTTTCTCTCCAGTGTGAGTCCGCATGTGAGTCTTCAGATCACCCAGCCGACTGAACTGCTTGCCACACTCCTCACACCTGTAGGGTTTCTCTCTAGTGTGAGTCCGAATGTGGGTCTTTAGATGACCAAGCGAACTGAACTGGCCGCCACACTCCTCACACCTGTAGGGTTTCTCCCCTGTGTGAGTCCGCATGTGAGTCTTCAGATAACCCAGCCGACTGAACTGCCTGCTGCACTCCTCACACCTGTAGGGTTTCTCCCCTGTGTGAGTCCGCATGTGTGTCTTCAGGCTATATAGATGACGGAACTGCCTTCCACACTCCTCACAATTGTAGGGTTTCTCACCTGTGTGAGTCTGTATATGTGTCTTCAGATTACTCAGCTGACTGAACTGTCTGCTGCACTCCTCACACCTGTAGGGTTTCTTATCTGTGTGAGTCCGCAGGTGTTTCTTCAGACTACCCAGCTCACCAAACTGCCTGCTGCACTCCTCACATTTGTAGGGTTTCTCACCAGTGTGAGTCCGCATGTGTCTCTTCAGAATTCCAAGCTCACTAAACTGCCTCCTGCACTCCTCACATCTGTAGGGTTTCTCACCTGTGTGAGTTCTGATGTGCTTCTTTAGATCACCCAGCTGACTAAACTGCACGCTGCACTCCCCACACATGTAGGGTTTCTCCCCAGTGTGAGTCCGCATGTGGGTCTTCAGATGATCCAGCTGACTGAACTGTCTGCTGCACTCCTCACATTTGTAGGGTTTCTCCCCAGTGTGACTTCGCATGTGTCTCTTTAAAAGACTGAGACGACCAAACTGCTTGGCACACTCCTCACATCTCAACACTTTCACACCTTTGTCCTGCCTCCAAGTTTCCTCTCCAGACTCCTCACAACTTCCTCCTTGCCAGGTGGAAACGGTGTCGGCAGAACCCCCTGCTGATCCTCCTTGCCAGGTGGGAACGGTGTCGACAGAGCCCCCTGCCGATCCTCCTTTACAGGTGGAAACGGTGTTGGCAGAACCCCCTGCCGATCCTCTCATGACGTCATCCATACCTTCTATGCTGCCTGTTGTTGCCATGTCAACGAGAGCTGGGTCAACCTCTGCAAAAAAAAAATGAAACAACCGATCTATAAAACACACTGAAATATATTTGCATTTGTAGTTGAGTAGTACCGGTACTACGTATTATAACTTGAGTAGTATCGGGCTTCAAGTTACAATGTAAAGTAGAGTAAAGTATAGTTAACAACTGATAATCGTGAACTGTCCCTTGGCTTTCATGTTTTTCATGCAAGGGCTTCGACTTATTTTTGATATGCAACGGTTTGTAAGCGTTTTGTAATCCAGGTACTAGTATATATATTTTGTTTTGCAACCGTACCTCAGGCGCGTACGGATACTCAACTGCCAGTAGTGAACAAATGCTTTGGTGTGTTTCGCCAAGTCCCCCTATCATCAATGGACCGTCCCGTTGTTTTCACACTCTCCCGTCTGGCGTCGTCACATTATAAATTCCAGATGCGAGAATTAGGCGGGGCTCACGTAGGGGTTTACCGTATACTCATACTGTAATTAGATTAACGCTTTCCTCATCACCAACACCAGAATCCCTTCATAACTGTGAATTTTGTATTCAGTCCGTAAAATTGCACACTGGATTACTACAATATGTTTGCTAATTTATAATGCGACACACAACATAGTCTCGTAACCCCTCACCGACCCCCTCCCTGTTTATGTTATCAACTTCCCCGGCGCGGCGACAGCTCCTTTGTTTATAGTTTGAGAGCCAAACATTCAAATGTAAATTCCAGACATTTCTCAGACAATGTCACATCCACATAACGACGTATCTTTGCGCAGTCAATTAATTTAGTCGGGGGAAGATCACGGACAAGCCATTATGGCTTTTTATCTTTCCCTGCATATCCTATTTTGTTTTATGTTCATTTGTTCATTTTATTGTTCTATATGCAAATAAACAAACAAAAACAAACAAAAAAAAAAAAACAAATTCCGCGAAAAGCCAGCATGTGCCGGCTAGCGCTTGTCGCTAAGTACTGCGGCACAATACCAACTTTGTATTCCTGTGGTTTTGTAGCATTTTTATTTTTGGCCGGCCGGAATTTCTTTTTATTCGCTCGCGCGCACTTGTTTGGGGGTCTTCAGAGGATGTCATCCATAGAATCAAGTCGTTGTGGCCTAATCGGGAATAATTTGTGACAGGTCAAAACTCTTCAGAAGCCACCGACCTATGTTTTATGTCCTGGAAAGAGTGTTGGAAAATATATATTCACAGGGCATATGAATATACCGATAACGCTTAACGTTGAATTTGAGCGGGACGGCAACGATTAACGGTGAATTAAAATAGCCCATATCGGTTAACGGAAAAGGCATGCAGGCCCTCTTCTGTGGATACTTCACTCTAATTTTGGATCACTACCACTCGAGCCATGTTCTTTGCTTGTCAAAAAGCCATCCATCAACGTTGGTCAATTCTTTCTACAATTAATAGTAGTAATAATTTAAACTCCATTGCTTTCACCATAAAACCTGTACTCCCACACATCTAAACTGTGCATACCTGCATGAGGGCCTGCAAGGCGGGGGGTGGGGTGGTGGTGATTCAATTATTACGTTAAGTTTCAGAGCTGATTACTACTTTACAATTTGCGGCTAATGTCGAATTACGTTGATTTTTGCGGAGGCTGCCTACGAATTACGAAGTCTAAAACGGCCTGATTACGCCTTACGAAAAAGGGTTTGCAGGCCCTACTGCATTAGAGATCTGTCAAACACACTGTTTTTCAAAGCAGATATATGTAACCCGGCAGATATTAAACGCTACATGTCCTGAATTCTGGATTGTCTTGATATTTGGTTGGTGGGTCGGTCTTGATGAGATCGAGACATAAAAATGATTAGATTTTGGGCCTCCTAGCGACTTGTTATGGTACTGCGGAACTGCCGGTTTTGGTATCTCCAGATCTGGACATGCTAGGGTCGCGAATTTAAGGTAGTACATACATGTACCTCTTGTACTCAGTATATATACCTCTTGTACCGGTTAACAGATCATTATGATATTTGGTTTGTCGGTAGTTTAAATGATACTTTACATAAATAGATGACTATTATACAAATGATCATGAGGAATGTACATACATTTGCTACCTTCCATGCTGCTCCTCCATAATGCTATAAGCTTGTGACATGTGTAATTAAGAACGGGAGGAACATTGCCAGATGTTGATTACATATATGCTGAAATTTAACTCAAATTTGGTTCATAATCAGATATTGATTACATATATGCTGAAATTTAACTCAAATTTGGTTCGATTCGTATAGAAAGGTAGGCGTGGCCTAAATCTTGTAAGACTGCACCCGAACTTCAGCCAAACCTGGTCGGCTGGTGTCGAACCTTGTCGGCTGGTGCTCAGGAACAAATCTGGCGGAAGGTCGTGAAAGTGTGTCATACTTGCCGCATTTGAAGGTGAACATCAATAAACATAATTCATACAAACCACAGTGTGTGATTTGTCTACCAATGAAGACCACCTTAAATTATTGAATGATCAGCAGGACATATAAGGGGGCCCGCATGCCCTTTTCCGTGGAGCGTAATAGGCCACTTTAATTAATTCTACATTGAGCGTAATTGGCGAATTTTGCGTAGAGCGTAATTCGCATTTTAATTCTACGTAATGCGTTGTAGCCACGTGGAATTTATCGTAAAGCGTATTGGCTACTGTAGCGTAATACGTAGCGAGTTCTCAAAATTCGAATTCAGCATAGAGCGTTGTCGGGACCTCCCCATACAGGCCCTCGTATATTACAGTTTACTGTAGCGAAGATGCCGCGAATACTGAGCGCTGAGTATTGTACAGCACTTTAATAGGCAGAACGTCACATCGAAGGTCTAGGAAGGCCCATAGGTACACTTAGCATTTTTTATTCCACTTTGTATTTTCTATGGGTACTTTGTATTTTCTATGGGTACTTGTTTTTTTCTGTGGGTACTTTGTATTTTCTATGGGTACTTTGTATTTTCTATGGGCACTTTGTATTTTCTATGGGCACTTTGTATTTTCTATGGGCACTTTGTATTTTCTATGGGCACTTTGTATTTTCTATGGGCACTTTGTATTTTCTATGGGTACTTGTTTTTTTCTGTGTGTACTTCGCGAAGTTTTTTTGGTGGCTGGCGAAGCGACATTCATTTTGCTTTGATGTGGATGCTCCCATTTTTATTATGGCGGTATATTTCTATTTACCATTCTAGGCAACTAAATTTATTTTAAACCTATTAAAACATAATATACTTTACACTTTGAGAAAATTTTGTTTGTTTTGCATGCAATGTTCCACACGTTTATTAATTAGGAGTATCAAATAGTGATTATTACATCCTGGCATAGATTATGTTAATGTAGACACAGGACCATACTATTTTCGGGGGTGCTAGGACATATTGTTCAGACTTCCGTCAACATTTCCGTAGCGATATATGGTAAATCACTTCCTCGCTGAATGTTAATTACTCCTTTGTATTAAAAAAAGCCCGTAATCTAAAGCGAGGATTCATTGCCAATGTTGGGGAAAAATTGCATTGCGGTTTGCTGCCCTCCTACCAACCGCGAACGTTCATCACATGCAGTTTACGTAGGAAATATGGACAGTATGCCGTTTCAGTAAATAACCTGACATCTAAAATTGTTGAAATATTCACAGAAACTCAAATTACACTCTAGGTTGACCGTCTAATCGTGTGGTAAGCTACATGTGTGCTGTAGTGACATGAATTGGCACTTTTGTGGGGAGGGGGGCGTCCCAACAAAGGTCAACGACCTCCATGGCTTACGGCCTATGTTTCACGCTTTTGCACTTCATAAATGAACAATTTTAGATGTCAGGTTATTTACTGAAACCAAGGAGGTTGAATACAATACTTGTATTTAACCTCCTTGCTGAAACGGCATATTGTCCATATTTCCTACGTAAACTGCATGTGATGAACGTTCGCGGTTGGAAGGAGGGCAGCAAACCGCAATGCAATTTTTTCCCAACATTGGCAATGAACCCTCGCTTTAGATTACGGGTCTTTTTTAATACAAAGGAGTAATTAACATTCAGCGAGGAAGTGATTTTACCATATATCGCTACGGAAATGTTGACGGAAGTCTGAACAATATGTCCTAGCACCCCCGAAAATAGTATGGTCCTGTGTCTACATTAACATAATCTATGCCAGGATGTAATAATCACTATTTGATACTCCTAATTAATAAACGTGTGGAACATTGCATGCAAAACAACAAAATTTTCTCAAAGTGTAAAGTATATTATGTTTTAATAGGTTTAAAATAAATTTAGTTGCCTAGAATGGTAAATAGAAATATACCGCCATAATAAAAATGGGAGACATCCACATCAAAGCAAAATGAATGTCGCTTCGCCAGCCACCAAAAAAACTTCGCGAAGTACACACAGAAAAAAACAAGTACCCATAGAAAATACAAAGTGCCCATAGAAAATACAAAGTGCCCATAGAAAATACAAAGTGCCCATAGAAAATACAAAGTGCCCATAGAAAATACAAAGTACCCATAGAAAATACAAAGTACCCATAGAAAATACAAAGTGGAATAAAAAATGCTAAGTGTACCTATGGGCCTTCGTAATAGGTCGTATTCGCGTTTTATAGTTTTCCAATGTTGTGTCGAAAAAAAAAAACGTACCGTCTGCAACGGGCAAAATTTTGATACAAGTTCGTTTCCCACACATCCAGCAGAAACCGTGATTTCGCGTAGGCGCAGTACGTTCTGCTGACGTGCTCGATACAGATACAAAAGTCCTAATCACCCCCTCCCACGATAACAAATGTACTGTCCCTTCCGGTGCTGATGAGATGAGAGCCCGCGCGCGTAACAAATGAATTCAATAGCCTCCGCAGACTCTATGGTTGCGGTGATTAATTTGCCCTTATTGTGTCGCTCTTGTTTTTTATAATATACTAAAGGCTTTCTGATTGTCTGATAGCTTTCTGTGACAGCTACAAACCTCGTAGCAATAAAGAAACGCACGTAAAGAGGACAGGAAGCAGCAAGGCCCAACAGAAGCGTCGTTTCCACGGAGCCTGATTTGGAGACTACAGTGCGCGAGGGCGTGGCCACCGGTCACCTTTTCGTGGGAGAGAAGGTGACATTTGTCGTGTTTTCCCATGGAGGTTTAAAATCCCTGGTTTCCACGGTCTGCTCGCGGTTTCTACAGCTTCTCCACCCCTTACCTACCGCCGTTTGGGCAGCAGTCAGACAGTTGGTGTTCCTGAATAGAGCATTATGAAGGACGAGACGATCAACCTTGTGTTCCACGCCAAGACGATGAAGGAAAACAACATGGTGGAGGAGGATGGCGGCTCAGACAGCATCCCTGCCGCCGTGCAGGCCTTTCTCTGGAGACTGACCAGGTCGGACATTAAATGTCTCTCTCGTTTTGTACGGTTCATATAGACACTTATGCTCATGTTTTATGTGTTGGCATTATTTAAGTAATCACATATTTCGCAACAAGTGAATTGTCAACCTGTTGATTTTCATCACATCTGTTACAATCCAAAGAAAAAACAAGAACAACAAAACCTAGTATTTTTAGTACAATTGAACCCCAATATTTCATAACATGGTCATTATAGAGTCTTACAGGGTAAGATAACTGTATTTCTAAGATATTGTCGTAACAGATTTTACGTATAGTTGCTGTGCAAATGGTAATGTGGTTACATGTAAATTTTTTTGGTTGGGTTTGTGGAAAACGTAGTCCAGCGTGGAAGCCGGAAAAAGCAGTCCATTCCGGTCTGTGTGGAAAAAAGTGACAATATTCTTTAAGTGGCAGCAGCTGCAATTTTTGTGCGGGGGGAGAGCAACAGGATGAAAATTCCAGGCTCATTTCTGGCTAGAGCATTCTTCTTGGCAGCCACTTAGGCCTCGTTCATGATTCAAAATGTATTCCAGTTTGGCCACGATCCAAATCGAAACGGAATATATTTTTGCGTCCGTGATTCAAAACTTGCACCCACACTGGAAACTGTTTCACACCTCCAATTGACTTGCATTTCATATGTTTATCACAATTTCTTTGAACATTTCCTGGAAACCTGGCTCGTAAGGCGGAGAGTTTACGCCTATTTGGGCGAGTGGTCGCTCGTTCCCGACTCATGTCCTCCCCATAGGCTGTGCCCCGGACACATCTGGCGCAAACCCCCACGGTCCGCCGCCCCAACGCCCCCGTTGGGCTACCACTCACCCTCACGCCCAGGGTAGGTTCTGGTGCACACCATCCAGTTTCCTCTGGATCTCCTGATTACCCCAAGTCAATATCGGACCTCCCGTTTCCTTAGTCGACCAGTAGTTAGAACTCAATGTCAAGATTGTATAATTCAAGTAGAATTTTCCGCAGTACAAGCCACTGCGCCGCGAACTATGGCCGACTGTCGCCCCCACATACCCAGGTGTACAGCATCGAACCAGAACGATTCACATCTGCGCGTTTATGATTACAATTCTACGAAAGCGAATCCTTATGTATCGTTTTAGACCACCTCGCGAGGTGGTTCAAAATCCGACGGAACCTGAATGGAGCGTTTATGTTCCCAAATGAATCAATTTATATTTTAAAGTCGAATTGATTCGCAACAGATATCGAATAATGAACAGGGCCTTAAATGTACAAGTAGGTCTGAAAAAAAGGCAATTTTTGCCACTATATCGATTCTCTCCTACCACTGAATGATGAATGGCCAATTTCCCATGGTGTCTAGCCTGGTGTCAATGTCAAGATTTACATTCAACTACACATGAAAGCGTCAGACCACTTTTTCCATCCCCAATTCAGTCCAGACTGGACCGTTTTTTCCACCAACCTGTGAAAATAGAGGTGCCATTAATTGTTTTCATCTCAGACTCAGGAAGACAATAATAATTATTATTAGAGGATTGTGACAATATTCAGCATTTGGCTATTTCTTGGCATCACAAAGGTCAAGATCACTCAGTTTGGGGCCTCCTGGTGACTTACCTTGATACTGCAGGCAGAATTGTCTGTTCTTCACACTTTTTGAAATTTTATAAGGCCACACCATCTTAATTTTATGGATGACATCTGCGGGCACATTGATTTTTGCCAGCCCTCTTACAGAGACTCTGACCTGGCTCTAGTCCTGGGTAGTCCATGGTAGTTAGCAACAATACAGAGCTGATGGTAACTGTGGAGGATGGCATCCAGGGTGCCGAAGCTCGACGACTCAAGAACTACAGTGCTGATTCATATATTCGTCAAAAAGCCAGCATGTGCCGGCTTGTTGTGTACATGTATGTCGCTATTCACTGCCGCAAATTCACAATACCAGATTTGTATTCCTTTTGGTTTTTTTAGCATCTTTATTTTTAGCCAGAATTTTTTTATTCGCCCGTGCTCACTAGTTTGGGGGTCTTCAGAGGATGTCATCCATAAGTCAGTGTGGCCTTACATATTGATTCCATCCCAAAGATGTAATTTTACATGTCAGGATTCCTTTTTGATGCACGTTGTAATGAATGATTATTTCTGAAGACAGCATGTCAGATGAAATTTAAATCCATGTACAATTCTTTTTCAGTCCCTTTGTACAGTCCAAGCTCACCAAACAATATGAGGGTTCTTGTGTGGTAAGTATAAATGTATGTTTTTTTTTTAATTGTCAGTTTTATAACCAAAAGCGTTCAGTAGTCTGTCCACTGAATTGCACCAGTGATGTCCTGGCTCCAGCAAAACATAATAATATATTATTAATGATTTGATGACTCAAAAAAAAAAGCAATAGAAATCAACATGTTGAGTTTGAAGTGTCAGTTACTATACTAACAGTACTAAGGTTTGAACATTCTTTGATAAGTGTATATTTTACTTACTTGTACACCAAAGGTTGAACAATCATTTCGTGAGCAATCTACATTGTACATGTTTAATAAACTGATGTTTATCTTCTATCTCATAGAATGGACAACACCTCTGGTCTTGGGGAGTTACTATATATAGTATATGATATCTTTCGATTTCTACAATTCAATTTATTTATGACAGTCACTGCAGATTCTTATCTAGTTTGCGATTTCAGAAAGGTTTCTTGTGACTGTGTAATATTTGGAAATTTTTTAATTGCTTTTAATAAGCGGTCTGATACTGTAGTTAAATATATTTGTTATTATTAGGTTGCATAATGGCCAAATGTTTGCCAGTAGGTCATGAGTTCCATCCACTGTTCAGCAAAAGGGGACATGCTCAGATTTGTGACACAGGTTTTTCAGGTGGAGAAAAGCATAATTTTCACAAAGCTTAACATAATTTTTATTACTAAAGGCCTCACCATTTGGTTTGTTAATTAGAGCAATACTATTAGCATTAGCGAACTAAAATAACATGCAAAAAATTGTCAACTTTAAATCAAATCACCGCGATAAAAAAAAATTATGTAATAATTAGAAAGACAAGGACTGACCAGTAACTGTAAACCAGAATATTACAGAATTTTATTTCTACTATGAAATGCTTCCTATCTTGCTACATTATACAGACACTGGAAAGAATTCTTGTGGACAAGCGGTTGTCTGGTCTGCCGTGCAGTCTTCAGTCTGTCATCAGCTCAGTTCCCAGCTGGTCTCTACTGAACGCAGCTCTGCCACATGTCATGCAAGGTAAGGCCACACCAATTTAATTTCTTGGTTAACGGATTTGCCCACTTCATTTTTTTCTAATTTGCAAAAAAAAAAAAAATTCAGAATCAACTGCAAAATGCTCATATTTTGCCCTGAACAGTTGAAAACAGTCCTTTTCTTCCTAGTTGTTACAGTTATTCCATCTTTCAATGCAGTGGTATCATTAAAAGTTCAAAATTCATTGTTTAAATTTTGAACCAGCATGGTGTGTTGACTTCATGGCTCCTGTATACCATTTTGGGCCATAATAGGATGCCTAGTCCTGTTTTTATTCAATCGCCCGCCCGCTCCATTATTTTTCTAGAAAAATCCGTTAACCAAGAAATTAAATTCTTGTAGCCCTAAGGTCATGTCTGCTCCACACACACAAGGTACTTAGCTTGGTGACATTCTTATAGATTAGATTAAGTTTTAATCTAGGATCCTCAGTATATACTGTATGCATGGTATATGATAATGAAATGGAATTTCACAGTTACAGTGATATAGAACTGTTTCATAAGTAGAAACTCGAGCCATCACACTTATTCACAGGGCTCGAAATTCATTTTTGGGAATAGGGGAATACACAACAACAACATCAAAGATTTCATTATAATTTTTCTTTGACACTTACATGTAGATGTCAAGGAAATACTGTATACTATAATACATTTCATACGTACACCCACAGAAAGAATTGGCATGACTTTATAATCATATTAGGAGAACTCATTGTTTATACAAAACTTATCATTCTTTAGTTCATATAATTTATCCCTTGTTTTACCAGGATGTGCTGCACTTCTTGCCAACCGTAACTCTCTTGGCAGCAGCGATCGTCTGAGAGTAGCGGAGACCAAACTGCTGCACACGCTCCACTGGATCCTGCTGGACGCGCCCCACGAGTGGTACAGCGATCACGATGACGAGGAGTGTGAAAATCTGGACACAAAACTCTTTCCTCTGGAAACGATTCGAAACTTTGTTCACCTGTTTGCCCCTCTTGTGAATTGCATACGGGAAAATGATTTGACCTTCCGTCTGTCGAAGGGCATCCGGATCTGGAAGCCGATGTGGGAACATCGTCAGCCGGAGGTCTCTTGTTTCTGTGTCCTCATCAAGCCCAAGTTCACGGCCAGTATGGAGCATGTCGCTGGAGAGTATACAGCTGACACCGGGAACACGCAGGTGCAGGATGTTTGTGAGGTTTGTCGTAATTCTGTCCAGGATTGTCAGTGCAGGGAAGACAAGAAGAAGAGCGGGAACATTTCATCTCCCTCAAATGTCCTGGATGTGCACTTTGACCAGTCATGGCACAACGCTTGTAAATCTAACCCAGAAATCCCCTCCAGTGTTCAAAAACAAGAGGAGGAAAGTCACGAGCAAGATATTTCATGTGCAACATATTTTGATGTGGCTGTGCTGCAGTGCCTGTTCAAAAAGCACTGGGCAGAAGATGGAGTGAACTGGGCGCTGCAGTATGTTCTTCAGCGCCTGCGGTCTATCCTGGATGCCAAACTGTATCAGGAGAATCGGCGCCGGCGTAGCTGCTCCACTCCTGCAGGCCCCATCCCGACCATCCAGGTCACCCCCAGTGTCGGCGGACAGGGAACAGCAGCGGCTGGTAAGGACGGAAAGAAACAGCAGACAGGTCCAGCTCAGGAGCGAGACAACAGCCTCTGTGTTCCTGAAGACGTGAAAAGTTCTCCCCAGATATCCAGGAGGGAGGTTAACGGACCACATGCCCAGCAGAAAGCAGGAATGGAAGCAGTGGAAAACCTGGCCTCCAGACAGTCCAGAAGGTCGAGGAGGTACGGCACCACAACGTGTCCATGGAATCTACCTTTACCTATAGAAGAAGAGTCTTCTGAGGACGGTTCACAGAAAAACAGTGTGTCGTCTGACTGTGGCCCTGCAGCAGTTCCGCTCGTGATCATAGAGGACTCAGAAATGATGACAGGTGGGGACACGGCTGCAAACCCAAGTGAGAAAAAACAGTTTGTACACCAAGTAGTGTCTGATCCTTTTCTGTCAGGTAAAACCCACCATGTGTCCTCAGCACGGAAGCAGAGTGATGGGAACATGGTCAGGAGCCAGGAGAAGGGCAGCCGACCACACAAAGGTCTGACCAGATTCAGCAGCCTTCCTACCGGAGTAACTGACAGACGGGGAAGTCTAGCAGAAGATTGCAACAAAACACCGCCCACGAGTCAGATGTCCCAGTCCCAGTCTGCAGAGTTACTGGTGGTGAAGCAGGGAGTGCAGAAGTCCAAAAGTGCCGGCTCTCCCAGACAGAGCCCCAAAATAACAATCTCCCGCAGTGCCACAGACACAAAAATCAACTACCACCACATAGAGGAGGCAGAAGTGTGTGAAGTCCCTGGTGTTGCCTGCTACATTGAAAATGATGGCAAGTTAAGCTACGATGCCATCGTACTCGCTATTCACCAAGTCGTTATGTCGGACTCAAACCTCCGCATTAGTAGCATTGTCCTGAACATTGTTGACACATTGTTTGACCTGGAGTTTATATCTCTCCATCAACATGATGCTGAGACCAACAACAAGTCTACTGCACCAGACACTGATGCTCAACCTAAGGCAAAACAGAAACCTGACAGTTATGCCTATGTACTGGACATTGTGTTCCGAGTTATCCAGTCCTTCTCCTGTCCTCATGGATGTAGCGATGGACACAGAGGCTCTCCTGGAGACATAGTGAGACAGCAGGCTCAGGACAGCTTCACCAGGTACGTGTAATAATGCAAGACAGTTGTGTTTTATAGATATAGTGAGACAGCAGGCTCTGGACAGCTTCACCAGGTAATCAAGTGTTTTATAGACATAGTGAGATAGCAGGCTCTGGACAGCTTCATCAGGTAACCAAGTGTTTTATAGACATAGTGAGATAGCAGGCTCTGGACAGCTTCATCAGGTAATAAAGTGTTTTATAGACATAGCGAGACAGCAGGCTCAGGACAGCTTCACCAGGTAACCAAGTGTTTTATAGACAGTGAGACAGCAGGCTCTGGACAGCTTCACCAGGTAACCAAGTGTTTTATAGACATAGGGAGACAGCAGGCTCAGGACAGCTTCACCAGGTAACCAAGTGTTTTATAGACATAGTGAGACAGCAGGCTCTGGACAGCTTCACCAGGTAACCAAGTGTTTTATAGACATAGTGAGACAGCAGGCTCTGGACAGCTTCATCAGGTAATCAAGTATTTTATAGACATAGTGAGACAGCAGGCTCAGGACAGCTTCACTAGGTAACCAAGTGTTTTATAGACATAGTGAGACAGCAGGCTCTGGACAGCTTCACCAGGTAACCAAGTGTTTTATAGACATAGTGGGACAGCAGGCTCAGCACAGCTTCACCAGATAACCAAGTGTTTTATAGACATAGTGAGACAGCAGGCTCAGGACAGCTTCACCAGGTAATCAAGTGTTTTATACTATAGACATAGTGAGACAGCAGGCTCAGGACAGCTTCACCAGGTATGATGTGTAATATCATAGTAAGCAGTAGGCTTGGGACAGCTTTACGGGTATGTTGTATTTCATGCATTCCTATCCTTTTTATTCTTCTTATTGGTGTTTTCATGAACTAATCATAACATTTTAGTTCTAAAAAATTATCTTACTTTGAGGTATAAGTATGATCTTTTAATTACAATTTATCTCTGGTTGTTATTAAGTGTGGTTTGAATTGTGGTTGACAGGTTATTTCAGGGAAACAAGACTGCATGTACCACACATCTACAGAAGTGGATCTCCAGTCAGCCATTGGCCACCACTGTGGACTTCCTCCATTCCTGGCTGGGGTTCTGCAGCAGTACACCACCCAGTCCCTTTATACCGGGTAGGATGACTCATACAGGCAGAGGCTTTTTTACACTTTAACGATCGACTTAACCCTTGTCCTGCTGCCATTTTTTTATGGGTTCACCACACCACGAAGTGGTGGTGAACCCATATTGCTTTTTCTGATGTTTCTTCTCCTTCTCCTTCTCCTTCTTCTTCTCCTGCCATTTTTTAAATGGATTCAGCTTCTTCATTTTAGGGCCTAAGGTCCTGAAATTTGGTATGGAGGTACAGTGGGCAAATACCCCTAGGCGTTTTTTAAATTTTTGTGATACAGGCTTTTAGAATGGTTTTATTTGAGTTTTTTGGCTGTGTTATAGCAAATGTATTACTGAGTTAGTGTGCAGTGTTACCACATTTGGGCATGAGTCATCACAATGGAATGCAGGGCATCAACCAATAGGCATGCAGCTTTCCTCTATTCTCCTTGCTGATTGGCTGTTGGAATTTAACAGGCTTAACTTAATTAATACCTGCTCAGATCCATTCCATACTGACAGTATGTCTGTATTCAAGTGTTTTGGTAGGTATTTCAAGCTTTCCTGCTCCAGCATTGGAATGCGGGGCATGAACACTTCTTTTTTTCTTGAAAATCAACAGTTTGCATTATGCAATTAAAAATCCTAACCAATAATGTAGGGAATAGCTATCCAACTGTTGTAGTCTTAGTTGTATGTTACTTCATACTATAGTTATATCAATGTAAAGCATTGTTTTCCCTTGTGTTTCTCATTCTTTCCCTGCCATGTCGTAAAATGTGGTGAAGCCATTGCTGTATTTGCTCCAAAGCAAATGTCGGCCTTTCTAGTTAGACAATATTTTTCAATAATCTTATGTCTTAATCAGGTCATAGACCCCTGACTTATTTTGCTCTGCAGTGGCATAGTTACTTCTGCATTCGTTGCGCTTTGCTGTGGTGTGATGCGTTGCATGAGAAACACCACCAAATCGTGCCAAATACAGGTTGCTATATGGATGGTACTGTATGTGCAAAATAACAATTGTTGGGCTCCACAGGACAAGGGTTAAGAATATTAATTATAAATTGTCATTGACTGCATGTACATGTATGCCCTTGAGAATTAACCTAAAACTTGTTAATATCTCAATCACTCAAAAAGCTGTGGATGGATCTATATGGTGTTTGGTTTGTTGATAACAGCTTTTAATTGTGACATGTACATATTCTGAAGAGCTACTAAGAACTATACACGTAGGTGATACATTTCACAGTCTGTCCATACAATGTGATGTACTAGTCATAATCATGACACAGCACAGAAAGTAGTCAGAGGTATTTTGAGAAACAATGAAGGAACTGCTTTGAATTGCTTTCAACTTTGGATCACATGTCATCATGTCATATTTTGTCTTGGCCTCTATCCCAGAAAGGAGAGGAAGTTACTACGGACAGAAGAGTTTATCCTGGACTACAGCTAGAGAAGACATGGAGGGTACCATCATCGCACGGTGCTTCAAAACTCTGATGAAACAAATCCTGAAAGCTGAGACTGAGCTGTATCATAAACCTGGTGTAATGGTGAGTAGTATTTCATGACTGTATGTAACACGTACTTGTCGCAGAATGTGTATTTAGAATTCTTTTATCATACTTGTACATTGTGTTGTAGACAATACTGAAGTCCCTGTACTGTTGTCAAGTCAATGATTAAGAGATTACTGTTGAAAAGAAAATCTCAATATGCTATGATGTTCTACCATCCCGATATCAATCAATCAACTTTATTGCTCAACAACTGTAGCTGGTACAATGTATGGCAAAGAAACAACAATGGTACGTACACAAACTAATACCAAGGAGGTTAAATACTCCTTGCTAATACTAATAAAAGTATGATTCTAACGGGCTAATGTATTTACATTCTGTAATTCAGGGGATACATCAGCTATTTACAATATGGTGTCGCTTTTGTAGTGATTCAAATATGAATATGAAATACACTCGTCTGATACCTGAGTAGGACATGAAAAGAGCATATTAAAAATATCTGATTTTGAGTGAGGTAGCGTAACATTAGTTTTGAAAGCTATGGATTGCATAATATATATTTTTGGAAGTTGACTGACAGTTAAATGTACTGTGCCCATCTGTAGAACTGTTCAGGTTGACTGACAGTTACATGTACTGTGCCCGTCTGTAGAACTGTAGCCTGTTCTTTGATGTCCAACAACTGATGACATACCTGAGGGAGTTCCATGGCAGTACCTTCAGGAAGATCCTGCTGACTGGGCTCGTGGAGGCCACAGTTAGGAAACCTGCATCTGTCACAAGTCAGGCTGCCAGGTATGTTTGTTTGTTTGTTTGTTTGTTTCACATAACAGGTAAACAGCCTTGAGGCGTAACACACCAGTTTTGTGCAATAAGTACAAGCTGCGTAAGACCGGACTGTAAGATTTGAACCACTCACACTGGGAAGGACACCTACTCTTTTTGATAAGTTTGTTGGGTTCTGGCTCTACTCACACACACTTGATCGTTGTAGTAAAGATTTTAATTAGAGAAAGTTGGTTTAAAAAGTTGTACTTTCACTAAGATCTTGATAGTATTCGTAGGTCATGTTTAAAAGTACATGTATTATATTCCCAGCCAGGTAGTTTTTATGTATAGCTGTGTCCTCAATATGATGAAACTAAAAAGGGGAAAGTTGGAAAAGTATTTTTCACATGCTGGCTCAGGGCTCAAAATACTGGGTGCATGTGCACCTTTTTTTTAGTTAATGCACCCAATTTTTTTCTGTAGGTGCACAAGTGCTATTTTTCTGCATTTTTGTACATATCAAATGTATAATAGTATGCAGGATATTCTTGGCATCTAAGTGTCAGAAAAATAATAAAATCTTTATGGTAGTACTTGAATGTGTAGTATAATGTAGATTTTGAAGTCTGTAATTAGGTTTTGTTTTATTTGGTGCACCCAAACAAAATTTTGTGCACCTAATTTTTCAGGTTGGGTGCACCAGTGCACCTATTCCCAAAAATGAATTTTGAGCCCTGTGGCTTAACCTTTGACTCCCATTCTCTACAGCTCTGGGGTTATTGGAGCAAAAGATTTTGGGGTAGGAAAAGGTGCTGGAATGGACAAGACACGCAAGGGACATGGCAGGCGCGACTTCTTCCGGAAAAGATTTGTCAAGCGAAGCAGCAGCACAAGTGTTTCTAGTTCTGGTTCAGAACTGGAGGCTTTTGACAATAACGGAGCGTCTGCACTGAAGACATCATCAGTCACTGACAAGAGACAGATGAGTATAACCAGCGTTGGCAGCATCAGTGAAGATGATCCCTTAACTAGTACCAAGGGAAAGAGGAGAACATTTGGACTCAAGATCAGACTGGGTAAGTATGTGTGACAGTATTGGAAAAACACGGGTCAAGAAACCTGTCCCTGGTGCTAAATAACAGGACATATTAAGTTAACACACCTGTTCCTGGTACTGAACACCATCCACACACAGGTAAACACATCTCTCCATGGTACATGTACTGAACATCATCCACACACAGGTAAACATAACTGTCCTTGGTACTGAACACAATCAACACACACGTAAACACACCTGTCCTTGGTACTGAACACCATCCAAACACAGGTAAACACACCTGTCCTTGGTACTGAACACCATCCACACACAGATAAACACACCTGTCCTTGGTACTGAACACCATCCACACACAGGTAAACACACCTGTCCTTGGTACTGAACACCATCCACACACAGGTAAACACACCTGTCCTTGGTACTGAACACCATCAACACACAGGTAAACACATCTGTCCTTGGTGCTGAACACCATCAACACACAGGTAAACACATCTGTCCTTGGTGCTGAACAACATCCACACACAGGTAAACACACCTGTCATTGCTGCTAAACACCATCCATGTACAGGTAAACACATCTGTCCTTGGTACTAAACACCATCCACACACAGGTAAACACATCTTTTCTTAGTGCCAAACACCATCCACACACAGGTAAACACATCTGTCCTTGGTACTGAACAACATCCACACACAGATAAACACATCTGTCCTTGGTACTGAACACCATCCACACACAGGTAAACACATCTGTTTTTGGTGCTGAACAACATCCACACACAGGTAAACACATCTGTCCTTAGTACTAAACACCATCCACACACAGGTAAACACATCTTTTCTTAGTGCCAAACACCATCCACATACAGGTAAACAATCTTGTTCTTTGTACTGAACACCATCCACTCACAGGTAGACACACCTGTTCTCCGTACTGAACTCCATCCACATCTGTCCTTGGTGCTGAACACCATCCACACATGGTAGACATACCTCATTGTTGCTGAATACATTCCACACACAGGTAAACACACCTGTCCTTGGTACTGAACACCATCCACACACAGGTTAACACACATGTCCTTGGTACTGAACACCATTTAAACACAAGAGGACACACCTATCCTTGGTACTGAACACAATCCACACACAGGTAATCACACCTGTCCTTGGTGCTGAACACCATCCACACACAGGTTAACACACCTGTCCATGGTACTGAACACCATTCACATATGGGTAAACACATATTTTCCTGGTACTGAACACCATTGGCACTACCGTAAACATCCTAATTTGTGGTTAATTCTGTTGATGTTGCAGAATTGACAAGAAGCTGACAGAGTAGGTCATTAATCATGAATGTTTTCTAATGTTTGACATAGAGCATATTAAACTCCCGCACCCTTTCACAGTTGATACATGTAAATTTTTTTTTTCTTACGAAAGGAACATGGAAGAAGTTCTCCCACCGTAGGCCACGAAAGCTGTCCCATGATGCGGAGGATGCCAGTGAGATGCAGACTTTCCTGCCACAACCAGCCAACAGAAGTAATCTCCTTTTTTTATTCTTTAATGGCTCTGAATTAAGAAAAAAACACTGATCATGTTGTCAACTTCCTATGGTACTGTTTAACTGCAGCAGAGTTTAAACTTTTGGTCCAACACAAAAAAGTTCTCTCACCTAGAGCTTTCGACCAGTCACTCTGGTCTTCTTCCTGAGTAGACTGACCCAGTGAGGCTTGTCACGTGGCTTCACTAGACACTGTAAGGATTTGGGACACTGAACAAGACTATATCTTGAGAGGGGTGAAGAAGGCCATATACATCAGGGCCCATCACCCTTTACTGAGCCGCAGTGGGGGCTGACATCGTCTACCAGATACCTTTGACCCAGTGTTGATGTCACACTTCAAGGAAGCCACGTGACAAGCTTCACTGGGTCAGTCTACTGAGGAAGACCAGAGTGACTGGTCGAAAGCTCTAGGTGAGAGAACTTTCTTGTGTTGGACCAAAAGTTTTAACTTTAAACAGACTTGAAATCTGATTGATGATTTGTATGAACAGGTGCTGAGAGAAGTGTGGAGTACCACCTTGACCACCGGAGGGTGGGTCTGCGAGCGCTGGCCAACAGTCAGCACCTGCTGGCCAGGATCAGCCGCAGGAGGAGGGGACTCATGGCTGAGGACAGGGAAGGTACAACTCCAGGGTTTGAAATACTTTTTTCTTTTTTTTCTATCATGTGCTATAGCCTGGATTGTAACACTCCTGGCTAATCATTGGTTTGCCGCAAAGTGTACATGCAGAAGTCCTGGTGGTGGAAAGAAGATGCCGGTGTGCTCTTGTTTTGAATGTCTGGATGTTGTTGTCAGTGATCCGGCCCACCGCGTTGTCTGAAGGACTGTTCCAGATGTGTACTGCAGTATGTATGAAAATTCTGCCAGTGGCGTGAGATCTAGATACCGGCACAGTGAGGGCATGTTTTCCAGTGGAGAGGCTGCTGCGGGTTGTGCGTCTGATTGTGTAAGGTTGGGGAAGCATCTTTTTCAGGTCTGGTGAGCATGTGGAAATTAGCTCTGAAAACAAGTGAAGACGGAGGCGAGTTTGGCCAAGAGCGGGGAAATTTATTCACGGACTTTCCCGTCCAAAACATGCCAACCAAAACAGCATCTAGACATAAATAAACAGACAATGATATATAGAAATTTCGTAACGCAGAAAACGGAACTGATAAACGTCTCTATTTAAAACCGTGGCAGGAGTAGGGGGTGGTGGTGGGTTGAGAATAGAGGGGAGAGCGAGGCCACGTGTGCGTCCTCGCCTAGCTCTGTCCAAGTGTCAGGGGTGACGGCGGGAGCACATGTGACCGGACCGTGGTGGGCGGAAGTGAGAGGGGACTGACCGGAAGGGGGAGGGACACGGGCAGTGGGCAGATTGTTTGGCAAATTAACAAAAATGACATTGGGGTGACATTTTTCCTCAATTAGCTCTGAAAACAAGTGAAGACGGAGGCGAGTTTGGCCAAGAGCGGGGAAATTTATTCACGGACTTTCCCGTCCAAAACATGCCAAAAATAAGGCCAAACCGCTCCGCAGAGAAGAGAAAGAGCAAAATAAAATAAATAAAATAAAAACAAGGAAAAAACTTTCAAAGCGAGGAGAAGCGAAGCGACACCACCACCCGTCTACCCCAGTCATAAACCTAACTACTGGTAGAACATAATGCACGAACGTGTCCACTGATGAAACAAAATAAGGCCGCAGCAGACCACGCATAAAAACGAGGAATGGTCGGGCCATTGTGCGTAAATAAACAATAAAAGGCAGAGAAAACATGACTACACGCTACTAACATGTGAAAAAATAATGCGGAGAAATATTTACACTAGATAGTTCGCTACTAATGCACAGGGCGGATACGTCTGATCATCCTCGTGCACAAGTCAAGCCGTGTGCGGAGAGGGACTTTTAGGTAGAGCAAATAGGCATTCGAGCGCCAATCGCCCTGTAACATGATTAGCTCGACGGGCACCCCGGCGCGGAAGGCGAATGTGGCCCCGCCGCGCCGCCCACTGTGTAGTGAGTACAGGTGTGGGTTCAGGCCCGCACGCTCAAGAATACATTTGAAAGCTTTGTCAGACACGGCTTGAGTCAAGGGAACGAAGCGAGCAGAACGACGTACAATAAACACGGCGGGTCCTCTATACGAACTATGTAGCCGTTGCATGTGTCTAAATGCAGAAACGGGACACAGAGGGGAGTTGGGTATCGCTAGGACTGGAATGTATAATACACGCTCTGCACATTGGATCGTTTTGGACCATCGAATACGTACAAACATTGAGTCGCTGTAAAGTCTGAAGTCAGATACGGTACATTGCTTAGCAGGATCAAACCTACCTTTCGGCAAAAAGTTAGACTTACGTTGGAATGTAAAGAAACTCAGTAAAAGTAAAGTCCAGATAGTGGCATGGAAAGGGTCTCTGAATATGTCCAAATGTTCGTAGATCTGGAGCAGTACCTCCGGTGTGAACGGCGCGACTTGTCGCGGCGTGTGGCCCATCCGTCGCTGCAGGCCGCGTTTCAACAGCGTGATGTACGTGGTCAGGAAAGCGTCCGTTGCGTAGCCGAAGAGGATGTGCAGTGTCTTAAGTCCAGCCAGGTAGTTTCCGATGGAAGCCGGTGCCTGGAACGACCGAGCCAGAAACTCTACGTATGTTTCTAGCGTGTCAACCGATGCCGGAAATGGCGGGATGCAGTAGAATGTACAGAACAACAAGAAAGTCCGGAGAATGGTCCGTAAGTTCGCCCAGGTGCCGTCTGCGAAGGCCGCCCATTTTGTGCGGCTGGCTTGTTCGCGTAGCCGACGCAGGTCCCTCCGACGGATCAACGTCACGGGTGGGGCGCATGTCGGTCAGTGGTCACGGCAGCCGCGTGCTGTGTTCTCGGGGCCGCGGCAGGGCCCTACGCGTGTGACGATCGCGAATGTGACGGTAGTCCCGCTGTACTGGAGGCGAGTGGTCCGGGAAAGGCCGCGGAACCCGCCGGCCGCTGTAGCCGGGGTACAACAGCGGGGTCGTCGACGATCAGAAGGGACACTCGAGCGCGAAATCCTCACTGGAGATAACAAGTTCCATCGTGGTCACGCCACGTGTCAACAGCTGAAACTGCTCGCGATGTGAAGCCGACAAATGCCATCGCGATAGGTGGTCCGGAATCCTGTTCGCCGTGCCCGCGATGTGCGACGCGCGCAACTCGAAACCATGCACGGCTGCTAGAAACCAGAGTTCACGGGAGCAGTGAAGTAAATCCGGGTCACGCGATCTTCCAGAGTTCAACACATGCACACACGCGAGATTATCACAGTACACAAGGATGGTCAGACCCGTCCACTGGCCGCACCACTTACGGGCTGCAACCACTATCATTAGCATTTCCAACACATGAATTTTGTGACCGTACTTATGAAGCACAGAGTCCGGGAAAACGGCATGAAAGAACTGTCCATCGGAGAATGCCCCGCATCCCGTAGAACATGCATCCGTAGCAACGACTTCATCCGGGGCCGTCAAAAGAGGAGGCGCGATTATTGACACCCCGTTGAATACATGCAGGAAGCGGTGCCACCAATTTAGATCACGCCGGAAGTCGCGAGAGACCCGAAACCTGTGGTGATGCCGGCGAAGCGTGCGGAGAGTCTCTAACATGCGGGAAACAAACAAACGACCGGGGGGGACGCACGCAGAAACAAAGACTAAACTTCCCGATAAGAGATTGGAGCTCTCGCTTGGTGGCCCTTTTTCGACGATAGCCACTGCGACACCAAGGCGGAGACCTCGTCCCAGACGGAAGGACGGCACACGGCGCTCCATGGCGACGGTGTCAAATTCAATACCGAGCCAAGTTAAACAAGTCACTGGCGGAATGGCCTTCTCCGGCGCTTCCTCTAGTCCTAGGTCAGATAAGGTGCCCTGCAGACTAGCGAATGCCATCTGTGCTCGCGTTGGTGTTTCCGCGCCCCCGAAGTCATCAATGTAATTTGTCACTGAGAAACCTTTCTCTCGCTCAATAAACGTCACTGCAGACGTTGTCGACTGGCAGATGAATACAGCAGAGCGGAGCCCAAACGGAACACGAGTGTCAATAAACCACTCATCTTGCCAGCAGTAAGTTAAATAACGATAATCAGCCGGGTCAACAGGGATTTGTCTATAAGCCCTCCGCAGGTCCGGTTTGAATAGTAAACAACCGGGACCCTTGTCCAAGATCATGTCGGTCAACGTGTCGACCGAGGGATACACTAACGTAATTGGCTCACCTAGATACGTGTCTTTCGGAATGGCGTCATTCACAGAACGTCCCGCAGGGTAACTCAAGTCCACTACCACCCTCCATTTGTCACAGTCACGTTTTTCCACAGTTTGCAAGGGGGCCGGGAAGACCGGAAACGGGAAAGGGTTTGCACGAAAAGGGCCACACAGGGCGCCGTAACTGAGTTCTTTAGTAAGGAAGGAGTCAACATCTGCCGCATACGCCAAGGCTGAGCGGTGGTTAGTGATGGGAACATTGTCCGGGAACGCGTACGAATCGGGTTGAAGATTTATTGGCCAGCCGAATTGAAGCAGATCGGGTAAAGACGGGAACGGGTAATTAACTAATAAAGATCTCCAGGTCGCGATGTTGAGAGAAGACTGGACCGGCAGTCGGGCGCCAAGGTAATTAGGGACCCCGGTCTGAGCAACAGCACGAAACAACTCAATAATGTTCTCCCCCGGTGCCAGTGGCACCCGGCTGTGAAGGGAAACTGGCACCTCGACCAGGCTGACCACCGGGGGCGGGGCGAAAGGTCCTCGCGTGTGGACACTCGATCTTCGGATGCGCTACCTCTACGTGCCTGACAAGCAGGCACATGCAGCACACATGCTTTACTTGCCCCAACGCTGATCCCAATGCTCCGACCCTCGCTGGCAGGACCCATGCTGATAAGCCTCGCAGTAGCGTGCCCTGTTGTGATCGCGTGGGAAGCGCGTCGGACCCCGGGGTGTGGGAGGAGCTCGGGTGGCCCCAGCCTGAGTGCGGTAATGGTGTTCTCGGGTTTCGTCGATGGCGTCTTTGTCTGCCCAGGTTAACGTGCCGTTCTCCATCGAGTACAGGACGGCGGCATGTGTTTCCCGCACGACTTCCCATTCGTAGTACGCAGCATCAAACATCAAATCAGCTAGATGTTGGAGCTTAACCTTTAGGGATCCCTCGACCCGTTTCTTCTCGATGAGGTTTTTGACATATCCATACGTGAACATAGGTGTCGACAAATCATCGAACGTGACACAACCATCGCCTTTCTTACCCTTGCCGGGGAAGTGCACGTGATGATTTGGCCAGTCCACTTTAGCAAACCCCGAAACACAATCATTGATAGTCTTATTGCGGCCACTCTTCTTGCCCTTACCTCGGCGGCGGGACCTGCGCGGCGACGAAGACGAAACCAACGAACTGTCCGAGTCGGTGGCACGGTATCGGCGCGACCTGTTGCCTTTCCGTCGGCTTCTGGTAGTGGGGCGGTCAGACTTGGCCTTGTTGGCCGACGAAGAATAGACGCGGTGCCGGGAACTGTGGCGACGGGCCTTCGCTCTGTCTTCCGACGAGGAGGTTACGAGGGGGCGGCGAGAGTTGTGAGCCACCGGAGAAGAAGAGCTCGACCGCGAGAGGTTGTCGTCGTCTGACGGGATCCGGACCTTTTTCTTGGATGACGCTGGCGATTTCTTTTTGCCGAAGATCTCGTCCAAAGTCTGCTCGACACGTCTGGCCAAGACCTTGTCTTCACGGAGGTCACGTACAGTTGCCTGTTCCCCGTCGCTCGCCTCTGACCAGAGACCCTTCGCCAGGTCTTTGATTCGGCTCTCCCGCCGGAGCTTCTGCAGAGACCGCCGGGCCCTGTCAGCACGGCGCCTGTCCGCGTCGCTGTCCGAGGCGTCTGGTGGTGACGAGAGGGTCACGCCGCACTTCCCGGGGCCGTAAGGGCCATCATGCCCCTTCACTGGCAGCCTGCAGACTGTACAGGCTTTCGGTTTAGTCATTGCAAACCGCAAACGTGAATAAAGGAACGAAAAATTGAGAATAGAGGGGAGAGCGAGGCCACGTGTGCGTCCTCGCCTAGCTCTGTCCAAGTGTCAGGGGTGACGGCGGGAGCACATGTGACCGGACCGTGGTGGGCGGAAGTGAGAGGGGACTGACCGGAAGGGGGAGGGACACGGGCAGCGGGCAGATTGTTTGGCAAATTAACAAAAATGACATTGGGGTGACATTTTTCCTCCATGTGCATTTTGTAGATCAGAGAAACAGCGGCCACCTGACGTCTGTGAAGTAGTGATGGGATGTTGCAGTTTGCCCACTACATGTGGAGCATATAAGTCAAAAGCTAAGTTGCCCATCAATATCTTAGCTTGCCGTCAACATCGTTACTGTTTATTTAAGAAGGCCAGGCTACCTGTAAAGGTATCACTCACATGCTGGTCAAGGCAGGACATAGGACCAATGTAAGAAAAAAATGAAAAGTAAAACCTGCATGCACAGAAAACATGGTCCGCATGGTCAGAGTGGGTATTTCCAACTCTGTAGGTACAATTTTTAAACAATCTGAATAAGATACATTAAACTGGCTGATATTTAGGTCACCCTTCAGCTAATGAATATATTCATAAATGGACTCCACTATTCAAACTGTAGCAAATCCACCAGCACTGTTATTCAACAGTTACAGTACATGCATGTAGCCAGGCCAAGGGAAGCAGCTGGAAAGAGTAGAAATTAGCCGAATAGACAGTGACATGCCAGGGGTCTTGGTCTCCTAAGAGTACAGTTTGCATATTATATTAACCACAAGACCACCTTGCCACCTCGTACCACCATCTTCTTATAAGTGTATTAGTTATCTTGTTCATTAAATAAATATATAAGTACAAAGCTTCACACAGATTTAAAACTAAAGGAACTAATAGAAATATAATTTATTTGTCTTCAGTTAGTAAACCATGATGTATTAGAAAAACTAGGTAAATTCCTAATATAGTATACAAATGTCTAAATTAGAGAGAAAAAACATATACAGCTTAGATACATGTATAGATAGAACATAGCACAGTTTGCCTAATCCTTTTTGTAACTTAAGAGTGCATTCAGCCCCACTGGGGCATGAACATGCAATAAACTTCATTGCCTTCGACAGAAGGCTATGAAATCGTTTTTGCACTGTTTTGCAGATTATGCACGATAAAGTTTGAAGGCATGGTCCGTGGTTCACGATTTTTGGCAGGCAGGTTGCCTTAGTGATGGGCATTGTCAAGGCCAAAAATGGGCTTCGTGGGGGGTTCTTACGTGACTGGAGCTGACCTATAACACCCACCAAAACAATATCACACTGTCAAAGGCATGAGACCTCCGAACTCTAGTTGTCCTTGTTAATTGCTGTTTTGTTTTACCTGTACAGAGTCCACAGACCAGCCCAGCTCAGGGTCACAGAATGAGCCCACATCAAAAGGCAAGTCTTCTGTGTGGGACACGAGAGAGAAGGGAGTGAACGCTGACTCCACGCGGGAGGGCATGCACCTCTTCAGGTTCCTCCTCAACTCCTGTCAGCCAGGAACTGTCCCCGACCCAGAACTGTTGGCAGCAATGCTTTATTTGGTAAGGAAACAGTGTTAGGAACTGTTGGCAGCAATGCTTTATTTGGTAAGGAAACAGTATTAGGCACTGTTGCAGTCAGCAGGCTAGATGAATGTTGTTTACTTAATTATACGTATAGAAGCTAAATCTCATATAGAATGACTTACAATGTCAAATAATCTCCAAAGTCATCATATTCTCTGCATGAAATGCATGAGCCCTAAAATGTTAATGTCAAACAATTATTTTAGAATGGCATATTATGATATAAAAGAATAATTATTATTAGAATAAATAGTAGGATCAATGTAAGGGTAAGGTACAAATGTAACAGAATAATTTTATTGAATAACCTACTAGTAGATTACATGGGCAGTTATTAGGTAATTGTCATAATTCAACACAGATGAACTTTCATGATAGAATATGACTTCTATGTTTCTGGTTGTTCCAGGAGGCGCCGGTTGTTGCTCGAGCAGCCGTGCTGCTGGAATGTGCACACTTTGTCCACCTGTGTAACCGTGGGGAGTGGCCGGGCTGGATGCGCGTCATGCGGACTAACCTCCGCCGCAGGACGACAAACCGCGAGGTGGGAGGGGGAACAGCGCTCGTGGACATCCAGCAGAGCGCAGCACAACTGTTTTTTCAGTGGGGAGAGGTAAGTGTACTAAGGCCACAGCAAGTAATCTTTATGGATGACATCAGCGCGCGCATTTTTGCCTGATTTTGGAAAAAAAAAAGAAATTTTGTTGTTAATATGCTGAAAATGGGCAAAGATGTCTGTTGCCATGCTGGAAGGTGGATGGCAGATAACTATGAAGAGATGAGGCAAGAAAAGGCTCTGATCTAATGTTTTGTTTCTTACTTTGATGCAGTGATATGTGATGCTGGCTGTGTATATGTGATGTTCCTTAACTGAATCAAAACCATTAGTACAATGATTGAGTCAAACTTTTAAATTGTAGGAACCTTGTTTTTTTCGGCCCGTCTTGTTTTTTATTCGCCTGCTCGCATTAGATTTGGAGTCTGCGGAGGATGTAATCCATAAAATTTACTTGCTGTGGCCTAATAGTTACATGCATGCTCTTATTTTTACCCGGTTGCCAAGTTGCCCTTCACAGTCATACTTTTTTTGTTAGTATCCAGGTTTTGATTATACTTCTGCTGGTTCCCTGACACAGATTGGCAGCACTCCGGATCCTCTATCCTTTTTTTTAACCTTCAACTAACAAAATCGTACAAGCCCACATCCTCACACAGTTGATGTATGTAGGTTGTGTGTTGTCTGCCAACACTTGCATGCCCTGATGTTTGGAGCCTAGAGAAAAACGTCACTGATAATCTCTCCATAAATGACCAGCAAAACAGTCTCCTCTCGTGGATGTCTACTTGGGATATACATAATAAAATACAACACCGGGTATTCCTTATCGCCTGAGGTAGCAGTCTGACCATGCGTCAGATCGCCTGAGGGAGATCCGACTCGCGGGAGGGCTGGGACCGAGGGCGATGTGGAATACACCGTGTTGTATTTTATTTATGTCGTACCCACCCAAGAAAACATGCCTTTCAATGCGAAATGAGCGAAAATTTGGTGTCCCTAAAGCCAAAAAATGCAACAACATCAATTCCAACGTCCGAATTTTGTACTCGAATTTTCAAAAGCGGTTAGGGCGAAACCCGTTTGAATAATTATAATTATGGAACATTTGGAATCCCAGACTGTACGCGTTAAAAGCCCCCGGGCCGTACCGCTAGTTATCACACGGGCCGGAACACCCGTATCGAATGTAATCGCGGCCCAGGTATGACATAAAATCATATAGGGCGGAGTCAGCGTAGAGCAGGTCCTTTGTGGGATGTACCTTCAAGAAGTGTGACAAATGACAAACAGATACATGTAGGGTTCAGTACACCAGCTATGATGTTGAAAGGTTCTGTATTGCCAGGGGATGTAACAATGGCTTGTGTTCCCCAGTACAACATCATGATGGCATTGCAGGGCTCTAAATTCATTTTGGAAATACATTGTAGGTGCACTGGTGCACCCAACCTAAAATTTGGGTGCACAAAAAATATTTCCAGTGCACCATATAAGATAAAATGTCTGCAAAAACTATAATTAGCTGTTACAATAATATTATTATTTCTTAAATGTTAAGAATATTGCTGTAACTACTCTACATTTAACATCTTTACATACGTTAAACATAAGAAAATATTTGGGTGCACTGGTGCACCCACAGAAAAAAAAAATGGGTGCACAGCTCCAAATTTGGGATCACTAAGGTGCTCATGCACCCTGTATTTCCATCCCTGCATTGACTGTGTCTGTTGGTATGCCATATGCCAGAAGTATCTGCTTCATGATACTTTCTCCTGATTCCAGGCTGTAGGATGGCGACTGAAGGAGATCCTACACCAGGACAGCCAAAAGTCTGTGTGCATGTTTGGATCCTTTCAAGAGGAGGTGACCAGAACTCAGATGAAGAAAGATGACCTAGAGGAAGACTTCATGGATGAAGGTATATACTACACAAATGTAGCTTAGTACACTCCACATACACACTATGGAAAAATTATAAGGTCAGGCCCTGTACAATGTATTTCCTTTATGAACCAACATTTCTTTGGGGTAAATTTCTTGATATTTCCAAATGATGTGTTTGAATCTTAGCCTAATGGTCTACACTAGGGCTGCGTACCTTTTTGTAATATCAGGTACAGGTACAGAGGTTTAGGTCCAGGTCCGGACCTGTACCTGTACTTGAACATTCATGCGTGTCACATGTTCTACTGAAATTCTTTAATAATGGCAGAAACATGAATAAAGTGTTGACAATATGTCCTGTATCTTTCAAAGAACATCAAATATAACCATGGATGATATAACTAGGTTTGCTATCTCACTTCTCACTAGTTCTCAGTCACCCTCTTAGTGACTCACACTTACTGAACTTACTGAATGATTCTGTAATAGCTTATGATTGACCTATACTATATTGTCTCATTGTTTCCTGCAGGAATGTCTGGTTCTACTGGGGACCCTTGTCCATATGCACTAAAGATGGCCGCCTGTCAGCTTCTAGCAGAGATCACTACATTCCTGAGGGAAACTGGACAGTACCTTCCCAAGTATGTAATATGCTTTACTGATTCAGAAGTAATATAACTTTGCCATGGCAGTATCATAACTGTAGATGTTATATTTTTAATGGTGAAAATAAATTTTTTCTGGTGCAGGTCATGTCAAAGTTATCTGCAATGGTTTTTATTGTCCAAACAGTACCCATGCAGTCACAGCCTTTATACGGCTGAATTGATGTGGGGTATCAAATACAAATCACAACAATCACATAATATGCATGATACACACATTTGCTCCACAGATTTTTGTGGAACTGTCGCAAGGGTCTGTGTGACTGCCATTCGGCGCCACAAGGTGACCTCAATACAACTTTCCCCAACCGAAGTTAGGTACCCATTCACACATGGGTGGAGTGAGGAAAGTTGTGTAAAATGCCTTTCTCAAGGGCGCAACGTCAAGGGGCATGTTCAGACATGTCCCGGGTACAACTCGGGATCAAAGATTAAAGATTCAACTGCTCCTCCATGGATTGACTCCGAGGTGAGACACCTGAAAAAACGCAAACGTACAGCTTGGGCTAAAGCAAAAAGAACAAACAAACAGTGTGATTGGGTCAAATTTAGACGCCTGCGAAACATCCTGAAGAAAATGTTGAACAAAAAGTACTCAAAGTATATCAATGATTTAGGTGATGTAGTGGTCGAGAATCCCAAACGATTTTGGTCATTTTTTCGTACCAAAACCAAGTCTAAATCCCTACCTAACAAACTGAAACTTCAGGATGTCTATGCAGAGTCTCCTCAGGATAAGGCCAACATGTTTAACAGGTTCTTTTTCTCCGTCTTTAATCACACGGAGGAGGAACCCACGTTGCCCGACCTGAACGTAGACATGACTGTACCTGATATTTCTTATGTGTACTTCTCTGTCAACAGTATTGAACATATTTTGTCTAACCTGGATGTAAATAAGGCCACTGGACCTGATGATTTACCTGCTATTGTTTTAAACAGATGTGCGGGTGTATTAGCCCCTTCCCTGGAAAAATTTAAACTGTGTATGAACATCGCTAAAATTCCAAGTATGTGGAAAAAAGCTAATATCACTCCTGTTTTTAAGAAGAAGGGGGATAAGAGTGTTGTGTCGAATTACAGACCAGTCTCTTTATTATGTATTACAAGCAAAGTTTTTGAGAGGTGTATCCTTAACTCTCTTTATCAGTTATTGTCAAACACCTTATACCCCCTTCAACATGGTTTTATTAAGTTTAAATCCACTACTACTCAATTATTGGAAGTTTACGATGAAATTGGAGCAGTATTGGACAAATCTGGGCAAGTAGATGTAATATTTTTGGACTTCTGTAAGGCTTTTGACAGTGTCTCTCATAAACTCCTAGTGCATAAACTAAAATCTTTTGGGTTTTCTGGCCAGCTTATTGCATTATTTGACAACTACCTTTCAGGCCGTTTACAGAGAACTGTCGTTGAGGGTCAGACGTCCAAGTACTTACCAGTGTTGTCAGGTGTTCCTCAGGGATCCATACTAGGTCCTTTTTTTATTCTTGTTATACGTTAATGATCTACCGGATTGTGTTCAGTTTGGTCGTATGGCTATGTTTGCGGACGATGCCAAGTGTTTTAGAGAAATTACTTCCGTTTTTGACTGTATCAGATTTCAATCGGACCTCGATCGTCTTGTAGCCTGGGGGGATGCATGGCAGATGAAATTTCACCCTTCTAAATGTACAGTGATTAGTATTACTCGTAAACCATCTCCCGTTCATTACTCCTATAGTATTGCAGATTCTGTACTCAACCGATCCACCAGCTATGATGACCTAGGTGTTCATGTTCAACAAACTCTCTCATGGAACGCACATGTACTTAGGAAGGTGTCTAAATGTAACTCCACACTTGCAATGATTCAGAGATCTGTAGGATTTAACGCCCCTTTCTCAGTTAAATCTCTCAATTTGTACCGTGCACTTGTGATACCGCATATAGATTATTGCTGTCAGGTTTGGGCACCGCATACCAGATTTCTTCTCCGCAAAGTAGAAAGTGTACAAAGACATGCTAGTAAGTATATTTGTAATAACTATGAAGTTAACTACAGGGAAAGACTAGCCAGAATCCAACTGTTGCCTTTGTGTTTTAGACGTGAACTTTTTGATGTATTATTTCTCTTCAAATGTTTTCGTAACTTTTATTGTATTAATATTCATCATGTACTTAATATTTCAATACCCGGTAGATCACTTCGCTACTCTGACCAATACCAGCTTGTACCACGTCCTTGTAGATCCGAAACATTTACACATTCTTACTTTAGTCGCATTGCAATTATCTGGAACAAATTACCGTTACATATCCGCCAGCACATGTACTCAAGTCTCAGTTTAAACTCTGTAAAAAAATTGTTAATATCTCACTACACTTCCCGCCTAAACGACAGCTTTATAACAGAAAATGTATGTACACCTGGACCTCCACTTGCCGATGTGCCATTTGTTTGTCCACGTAGCGACTGTTTGTTTAGCTTGTTTTATTTGTATTTGTTTTTATATTTTTTTTTAATTGCTTGTACTAATTATCATAATGTAATTTCATGTGTCTGTAGGGGAGTCGGCCTCGGAGAGGAACATACTGTTCCTGTTGCCGTCTCCCCTCAGAATGTTAAACTTCTGTGAAGTGGAATTCTGTGAAGTGGAATAAATAAAAATAAATAAAATAAACAAAGCCGGGTCTCCCGCTTCATATTCGAACGCTCTACTTAGTCTACTACGCCACCTGACGCCACAAGGATAAGATGTTTTGACACCAGCTTTTAGACAGGCTTCTGTGGGACTCCCAGTGACTGTACGGCTAATTCTGTGTGGGAGCAGAATTTTTAAAATCACCCTAGATTCTGCCATAATCTACAAGTAAACATGAAAACATTCATAGAGCTCCTGATGAAGTCATGGCTGATTTTATGTGCCTATCCAACCTAAAAAAGAATACTAGTGTATTTTGTGTGTCCCTTCATTCTTTTGGAACTGAAGACATGTTTTTATTGAATACTAGATAGTGTTCAGTACTAAGGACAGGCATGTTTTGTGAAGTAGATAGAGTTTTGTTCTAAGGTCCTTAGTACTGAACTCTATCCAGTAACGGGGGGTGCCCTAATTCCGACCCATCCCTAATACCGAACTAGTTTGAAAAATCCTTGTTGTGGCGTTATGCATGGGAGCACGTACCTAAAAATAACCACAAGAATGGACAATGTTTTTGTGTTGATATCGGTTATCTCACAAAGTTTGTTTTAGTTTGTACACTCTGACAACAGACGAGTGAAAAATTTGTGTGAATTCGACGCTTGTTCGGGGGTTGACGAGCGTGTCAAAAATGCAGGTTTTGCTTTTCAAACAGCCACTTTGGAGCAAGTCGCGTAATCGTAAAAAGAGGACTTGTTTGGGACAGAAAACATTTGTAGATTGTTTTTGTCATAATTTGTGTATTATAATTTCTAAACTCTCTTCTCAGATCGCCCTATGTTAAACACTGGATCGGAATTAGGGCACCCCTGTTGCGATAGAACGTTCCACCGGCAAAATGACCGAAAACCTGCCGTGCGTTTCGCGAACCATTACGCTTCGGTGCAAGGCGCTACACTCAAGTGAAATAAACAGCTGTGCAGCTTTAATCGTTGTGATCTTTATCTGTCAGTATTATATCTCATGTTGCCCGGGTTTTTGGTCAGATAAACTATTACCAAAGGTATGTGCGTTTGCATGGAACATAGGTCGGAATTAGGGCACCCCCCGTTAAGGACAGGCATGTTTTGTGAAGTACATAGTGTTTAGTACCAGGGACAGGTATGTTTCTGTGAGGTAGGTACATTGTATTTTTCAGCTCTAAGGACAGGCATGTTTTGAGATTTAGTTAGAGTTATGCCTTCTGAATGGATTTTATTGCAATGTGACAAAGTAGGAACATCCTGTTCTGTGTTTCTGACATGATTGCCCCCCCCCACCACCACCACAGGGCCAGTCAGCACCACCATCCCTTTGTTGACCACACCCAGTCCAACACTAGTGAGCTGGTCGTGGATCATGGTGGACCCAGACAGCGCTGGAGTAACCTGGTACGTCCCACTCAGGACGGCCCTCGCTCCAGCATTGTCAAGGTCACCATGGATGTGCCTGCAGGTATGTCATCACTAGTATTGTCAAGGTCACCATGGATGTGCCTGCAGGTATGTCATCACTAGTATTGTCAAGGTCACCATGGATGTGCCTGCAGGTATGTCATCACTAGTATTGTCAAGGTCACCAGGCTTTCAGGTGTTAATTGAATTAACCCAATCAAATCCCAACAGCCAATCAGCATGAAGAATAGAGGGAAGCTGCATGCCTATCGGTTGCTTGCTCTGCATGCCATTTTGATGACTCATGCCCGAATATGGTAACACACTGCTGTAGTACATTTTCTGTAACACAGACAAAAAGCTCAAATAAAATCATTCTAAAAGCCTGTATCACAATAATAAAAAAAAAAGCACCTGGGGGTATTTGCCCACTCTACCTTCATGCCAAAGTTCATGTTATTTGGCCCAAAAATGAAGGAGTTGAATCAATTTAAAGACTTAGCAGGAGAAGAAGGAGAAGGAGGAGAAACATGAGGAAGAACAATATGACTTCACCACATACATGTAGTGGTGAAGCCATAACAACGTAGTACACCTTATTATAAAGGGGTCTGGAAACTCCAGCACTGACAGACGACATGTACTAGGCAGAAACTCCAGTAGCTGAGGGGTTAATCTCTGTTTTGTATGTTTTACAGGACAAGAAAGAAAAATCAGTTTCACAGGTGTGGATGATACTGAGTCAGTTCATAGCAGCAGCACGACATTGGCTAAATGT